TCAGATTTTTTCTCTTTTAGTCAAAAAATTTGTTTTTCCCCTCTTTCTTTTTTGAGGGATTAAGAGTAAAACATCTTTATTAGGATAAGAAGAATAGATTTTCCTGTGACAAACTCACTGAACAAGAAGATTATGACTCAATTAAATATGACAATTTTCGTATTATGTTTTTTATTTCTTTGAGTTATTAAAAAATGTTATCATAAAATCCTCTAATTTTTTTTTTGACATTTTAATTTTTCCTAATTTGGAGTTATTGAAAAAGTGATAAATCTTTATTATAACACACAAATAACTTCTATTAAATATAAAGCCATTACAATTTTTATTAATATTGAATGTCTAAGAAAAGGTTGAAGATAATTTTTATCTTCATTTTTAGTATTAATTTTGTAGAAAATAATGAATAAGTAAAGTTTATTAGAATAACATTTTATATGTTATTCTTTGATTTAATTTAGAAAATCGCTGTACTGAATCTTTATTAATATATTTTGAATGTAAAACATCATGTTAATAATATGAAAAAAAAGATATTTAAAATTATTTTAATAGCTTTAATAAATAAAGTGTCTTGAAGTTATATTATAAGAGAATATTAACTCATTAAAATAAAACCAAGTTAAACCAAATATAAAAATAATTTATTAAATATTTATTATTTTATTGTAATAAAGTTAAAAATATTTATGTTTAAAAAATAGATATATGATAAAGACTAAACAAGTAAATAAGTACTAAGATAGACTATTATTTTGAAAATCATAATTACATTACATATTATTTATTTCTATTAGATTTGTGAATAAGATAATATTTTTATAATAATATCATTCAAATTTGTTAAAATAATAATCTATCTCTAGACTCTATTTTTTAATAACTTGATTTATTATTTGAATAATACAAACTTTAAATAATTATAGATGAAATTGTATTTATTATTCTTTTGTTATTCTTTTATTTTTTTTTTTTTGAATTTATTATTTTATTTTGACAAACAGTAATGAGATTTATTTGAACATTTGTAATAATGTTAAATATTTTTCTGTTAAGACTATTCCTTAGTTTTTTTAGAACATAAATGATTTTTGTTGTCAATACTTGTTTTCTTTTATATCTTATGGTTTATTAATATTCATATGATTATATTTTTTGTTATAAATTTAGTTGAAAATATATTTAAAGTATATATCTATCATACGTTCATAAACTAAGTTCTTTTATCTTATTCAAAGATAGTTTAAAAAGAAGAACAAATCAGTTAAATTAATCTTTTTTAAAAATATAAATCTTAAATTAAAAAATAAAAATGAAAAAAATAAGATAATGTTTGTGATAAGGAACATAATAGCAATATTGATGTTTATTGCTATTGTCTATATGTATTTTGATTTACCACAACAATTTCAACAAATTTCATTTCAGCACTATTTCATTTCATCAAATGATGGTTTATCATCACCATCCTTAATAAACCCTAATAACACTGTTACTCTCAAATTACAACATTATAATGTATCATCATATGTTGATCCAAGTTGTCCAGAGGGAATTGATGTTGTTTGGTTATGGGTAAATGGAAGTGACCCAGAATTTAGAAAACAATTGGAAAAGAACGGAAAGAAAGGGGGAGAAGGGAGATATCGAGATTATAATACATTACAATATTCTATTCGGTCTGTATATAATTTTGCACCATTTATCAAACACTATTTTATTGTTACAATGGGACAAACTCCATCTTTTTTAAATACTTCTCAGTTTGAATGGAATGAATATACTCTTAGAATAGTTGACCATAAAGAAATATTTCCAAACACCAAAGATTTACCAGTATTTAATTCAAATTCTCTTGAAGTATCATTACATAATATCAAAAATTTATCATCATGTTTTCTTTATCTCAACGATGATATGTTATTAGGGAAAGAATTAAAACCAGAACATTTTATTAATTCAGATGGAAAATTAAAAGTATACCATAACTCATGGAAAGCACCTGACACAAATAGAATGGTAAAAAATATTTGGCATAGAAGTGTAGGTAATTCTAATGAACTTATTAACAACCATTTTGGTAAATCAAAAACAGTTAAACATCCTTATGTTAGTCATCATTGTTATTTTTTCAAACGAGATATTCTAAAACAAATGGAAGGTACTTGGCCAGAACAATACAAAGAAACAAGAAGACATAAATTTAGAGAAGGAAATGATTTAGCAATTCCATTTATGCATGGTGCTTTTGTTGTTGAATCAGGTCAAGGGATTTATGTTAAAGAATATAATTATTATTATGGTTCTTTTACAAGTTCAAGACGTAGTAACACTAAGTTAATAAATAACATTGAAAAGAAACAACCTCAATGTATTTGTATTAATGATGCGTTAGAAAAAAGTTCAGTAGCTGTAATTAATAAAGAGACAGCAATCCTTAACTCGTTTTTAGAAACATATTATCCTTATCCTTCTCCATTTGAAAAATACATTCAATTTAATTAATCAATCAATTTACTTTTTTATATTTCATTATTTAATTCATATTTTTAATTAATTTTTCCTTTTTTTCTTTTATAGTTCTTGATTCATGTTGTGTTTTATTTAATGAATGAGTAAATTCACGTTTTTCTCTAATATGTTGGCTTTGGATTGTTTTTCGAGGGGCAGTTTCTCTTATTTTTTTAATTTGGTTCTTCCTATTTTCATCAATAGAACTATTCCCCGTTTGAGCGTCAACATCAATTGGTACTACTACTTTTTTTGTTTTCTTTATTACTCCAAAAGATTTTTTCCAATTATATGTTTTTTGTAGTTCATGTAAAATAGTAACATAACTAACACCATATTCTGATGTGTTTAGAGGTGCGTCATCTTCTCCTCTATGCATAAATTTTTTTTCATTCAATCTCTCACTAAATTGTGTGGTAGTCATTTCAACTAATGTTATGAATAAAAAAAACTTTTGATTAAAAAAGTAAGAATTCAAATTAAAAAATAAAAAATAATTAGGGTTTTGTTAAAAAAAAAAAACAAAAAAATTTTAAATTCAAAGATAGAAAAAATTAAAAAAAGGAATGAAGTAAAAGAAATGTCGAAAAATTGGGATTTTCAAGTTGACCAAAAAGAAATTTTAGTTTTTTTATAGAAAACTTAATGAAACCCCATAACTTAGAGATACTATTATTATTTATAATAAAACTAGTTGGATTAATCAACCAACAAAAATTGTTATTACCCCTTTGTTTTTTAAAAAAGAAATTACAGATCTAGTTCTATCGCAAAACTAAGTATTAAGGGAAATTTGTATTAGTTTTTTAATTTTCGAAAAGAAAAAGAAAACCCCGGGGGTAAAAGTTTAGTAAGAGTTTTGGAAAAATAACCAAATTAAAATTCTCTTTTTGATGAACTGCAAAAATCCAAATTCCTTAAATGACTGAACTTGATTCTCACAAGGCTATTGTTGCTGAATTTAATAAAATTTGGCAAGAACAAGAAAGTAAATGGAAAGAACTCTTTGAAAATAGACAAATGACTACTACTGGAGATAATAGGTATTGGCATGATAGAGAACATATTCGGTTTTTGGTTTGTATAAAGTTTTTAAAAGCTACTAAGTGTAGTGGACTTCCAGTTAAACAAATAGCCATGTATATTTATACAAGAAATGGTATCCAAGTTAGAACTCATGCTCAAAAATATTTTAAAAATATTAGAGAATTAAAACCTGATGAAGAAGAAAAGGTGAGTCTTCTCCTTGAAAGAGATAAATATTTACTTCAAAATTTATTCTCTCAACAAAAGAAAACACATATTAAAAAAAGTAAATTGTAATTACATTAACGGTTATTTTTTTTTCTTCTTTCAATTTTATTATTTTAAGAGATTATATTAATGTTTTATTCATTTAGAATTTAATCTCATAAATTTCTTTAAACTTCATTTTATTTTTTATTTTAAATTACTTTTTGCTTCTGTTTATTCTCTTATTATTTCTTTAATTTTCTTATATTTTTTTATTAAAATGCTAACTTCTCCTTTTTAACTATTTAAAAATAAAGATGTAATACAATTTAATACATTCACTTTAATTATATAAACCAACATTAAAATTGATTGAAACTACTATATCAGTTGCAATACAAAACAATAAATTCTATTATTATCATGAATTTGATAGGGATAACAAACACTATAAAAGATAATTAATTAGTTTGAAATTAATACATCAAGATATTTTTTAGAGGTATTAACGAACTATATAGACAAAATTAATATAACTATAAATAAAAACTTGTATTTTACTGAGGCAATTAAATTACAACTAATATGAATTTTATTTTTTAAATATAACAAAAAGGTATATCAGTTCAGAGATGTTATTAATTATAAATTTGAATTTATTTAGACAGTCATTAATAGAATAATTTCAAATTTATAATTAATAGAATCCTATTATTTAATTAAAAAAATTATTGTCAATATTTTGTTGTGACTATCTTATAATAATAAATTAAATTATCATATTATATTCATATTATTAGGTAATAAATAAGATTCATTAAATATAAAACATAATTCAGAAGTTTTATTCTTATATGAACATGTATTATTTAATTTCTCTTTAATGTATTTAGTTATTCTTCTCAACATACTTAATAAATTTAGTAATAAAAGGATATTTAAAACAAAAGAAAATTAAATTAAGTTGAATTAAATATTTTTATTTATACTAATAGTGTGTTCGTTCAAATTTTCCTCTTATATTTACCACAATAAAAATTATTTGTTAATAACTTGTTAATATTTTCATCTATTTTCTATACATTTTATTTTTTTTTTAATTACAAAAAAGTAAAGTTAAATATTATCTATAAATGAAATTAATTCTTTATATATCATAATTTCTATTAATTGGATATGTCTCAAATAAATATCATATGTAAAAGATTAAACAAATTAATAAGAGATAGAATAATTTAATTCTTTGTTACCACCAAATTTGATTTCTTTTGTATATTTGTAATAATAAGAAAAAGAAAAATACAAGTGCAGAAACTTATTGTTTATATTAAAAGAAATAGTTAATATTAAAGAATGAAATATTATTAAAGTTATTGATTTTTGGTTATTAATTTTTCAACTAAGTAAAACTAATAAATATATTCAAATACTTTAAAATTTATGACAGTGTTTATATTGATATTCAAAGAAAATTGCAATACTTAAGATTTGTTCATTTTATTAAAGAAAGTATGGATTTAATGAAAATAACAATTCCAAATATCTAAATTTTTCTTCAATTTTATTTATTTTATTATCCATCATTTTCTTTTTAGAATACTGTAACTACTAAATATATTTATCATTTAAAAAATATGATAAAACATTAAAGCAATAGTCTAATATTACTCATTGAATAACTTAGAAAATAATTACTAAAATGTTTAATATAGTCATTGATTCTAAAATACAATATTATATTTAATGTTATCAAGAAAAATAATAATAATTTGCTTTAGTTTTTATATCTAAACAAAAGGTTTTTTCCTCAAATAAAAATATCATAAAGAATATTATTATATTCTATCAACTATTGTTTAACAATTAAATTATATATCTTTATTGAATCATTATTAATTTTCATTAAATACATTACTTTAGTATATATATAGAATTAAAGGTATTACTAAAGATATCAATTCTATTCGTTTTAACAATACCCATTTTATGTTTTTTTCTTTCTAAACAAATTTTAGGTATTCATTAGTAGATCAATTTGAACAATAAATGGTAATTCCCATTCTACTCTCAATGTATTTACTTAACAAATTTGAAAATTGACTAAAAAATTAAAAGTGTTGTTAATAAATAACCAAAACAAACGAATAATTATTCATTATTAACTTCTATTTAAAAAGAATAAACAAAGTAATGTCAATGAAATGTAAGATTGATAATGACACAAATCTAATTCAATAAATTCTTTTATAATATATTCACAAATAGAGAATATCTCTTTGTTAAAAAAAAACAAAATTAAAACAGTTAAACTATTCTTCCTTTTTAAAAGAAGTTTTTCTTCCATTTCTTTCAAAAACAAAATTAAAAATAAAAAAAAAATAGTAAAACTTAATACTGAAATGAACTTTGTATGGAAACAATCTTAAAATGAAATTTATTCTTTTTCATGAACAGCTTTAGTAAATGATTTCCATAAAAACTCATATCGTTTACTTGATTTTTCAAGGATTTTTTTCTTTTCTTTACTTATTTCTGATTGTGTTTGAGTTGGTTCAAGTTCTTGAGAAAGATTAAATAATTCATTTTCATTAATACTTTTTTCATTACAACACCAAAACTTTAAAACTTTTGGAACAAGAGTAAAAGGATAAGTTGCTTTTTGCCTTGTTTGTAAATCCATCAATATAATTCCAATACTCCGGACTTTATAAAAGTTAATCATCTTTCCTTCATTAGACTTATTCCCATCATCAGTATAAACTAAGTCAGTAAGTATTGACCCAATAAAGGGAATAGATGGAGGAGATGCTAATTTAACTAATTCTCTCATTTTACAAAAATTATTATCAGGAGAAATAAGAGAGTCCAGTTGTTTAAATAAATTAATTTCATCAATACTTAATAACCCCCAACTCTCTTTTAATCGATAAATACTACATGATTCAAGTCCAGCTAATACTGCTTTCATTCCATCAAAATTATTTAATTGTTTTAAGTAATGAGCAACTGAAATAAAATAACGAATAGCAAAAGCCCTTTCATAATTTTGTTCTAATTCAAGTATTTTTTTTTGAACAACATTAATAATATTATTACTAAACCTTACCATTTTTAATAAGTTTGGTGCAAGGTTTTCTTTTTCTTTCTTCATCCATCCTTGTTTTAAAAATTCATCTAATTCAATCTTTTGTAATAATTCCATTTGTTTTAATGTTAATTGTTTAGCACAGTCAAGTGGAGAAAAACAAAATAAAGTATGAATTATACTTTGAATTTCTTCATTAAAATCTGTAATAAACCATTGTATTTTTTTCCTACTTAATGAAGAAAATGAACTTTTTGAATATCTGTCAGATTTAATTGAAATAGAAGGTACTTTTGATTCATAACCTTGACAAGACCTGATAGATAAAGTAGAATTTGTTCCAAAATATTCACGAGGTGAAATAGAACAATCAATAGATGAAATTGATTTTTGTTTCATTAATTTAGGTTCTTTAGGACTTTCAATTTCTTTATCAATTTGTACTTGAATTGCATGAGCTAAATTTGGTTTAAATGCCCAAATTTTTTTCATTAACCCATCAAGTTGTTCATAAAGTTTTTCATTTTCAAAATCAAACTTTCGATTTTGAATCCACATTCTAAGTAAACCCATCACTTTTAATCGAGTTGGAATTAATACTTTATGTAAAAATGTCTCAAAACTAATTCCTTGTGGGTGTGTAGGATTAAATCGGATAATTAATAATTCCATAAGTTTAGAACTACTTACTACTAATGGATGAACAAGAATAAAACACTCCGAAAAAAAAATATCAGAACTATCACAAGATGTGATAAACTGTAAACATTTTTCAAGTGTTGCATATCTTATTATTTGTGAACCAGACCCTTTTTCATAAGTAAAAGTAATTGTTTTATTTGTTGTTGGAATATCAAATACGAAAGACTGAGGTGATGCATGATAATCACTCTCCTTGATTCTTGGAGAGTCACAGCCTTTCCCCATAGAATAAGGACTCATTCCAGAAGCAAGGTTTTTAATTTGTTTCAAATCATGGGTTGGGATTAGTTGTTTACATAAAGGGCATCTCCCATTAACTTCTACTGACTGTTCAAAACACATTAAACAAATACTTTCTCCACATACTGGACAATGTATTACTTTGGAATGGTGTTCGCAAGTTGATATTTTGAGGTGAACCATAGAAGAAACAAATTTCTTCATTTTTATATAATAGAATGAAATTTGAGAGTTTGATTTATCTAAAAGTAACAGACCCCCTTTGACTAACGTTTTATAGTTATATTTTCTTCTTTATTTATCTTTATTAATTGTGTAAAACAGGAAAAATAAGCAAAAGGAGATGAAGGAATAAAGAAAGGATAATCATTCCTTTGAAGAAGGGGTAAAAGTGTTTTATATATCATAAAGAACGAGAATGGATAAAAAAGGAAAAAAAGAACTAAGATTTTCATCAATGGCTGAAATTAATAAGGAACTTCAATTTATTATTCTTCAGTACTTCAAAAATGAAGAAAAAAATGAGTTGTTATTTAGGGTTGGTATGGAGTTAGGAATTTATTTTGATGAATCTTATATTAAAAAATTAGTTATTGAAGATCGATTATTTGAGTTGGACACTCTTTTAACTAAGTTTATTCAGTTTGTTTATTATACAATACAATAATAATATGATTAATAATATGACTAATGATTTAGTGAAGATATTGAATGTGAGTTACTAGGACTTGTTTATTTAAAAAAATATATAATGTATCGTGCTTTTTGTGATGGATGTCTAAGGATTACAAAACAAATATATTCTTGGCTTTTTAATAAAGGACAAAAGTCAGAACAAATTAAAAAGAATATTGAATCAATTTGTATTCATATTCATTTAGACAAATTTGATAAAAGTCCAATTATTTCAGAGTATATGAAAAACTTAGACAAAATTAGAACAGAACAATTAGCAAATGACATAATTACTTCTTTATTAAAAAGTGAACGTATTCAAAAGTTAAGAGAATTTCCAAAAATTAGTGATGAAAATCTTTTAAAGAAACTTATTTCTAAAGGAATAAGATTTGAACATATTAAAAATTGTAAAGGAACTCCAAGAGATGATATTACTATTGTTTCATTATTAAATATGACACATGAATGTCAACCAAATAATTTTCAAAATAGAAAATCAATTTTAAGAGACTCTATTATTATTCCAAAAAATATTTTTAACTTAAAAACAGAAATTGAAGTCATTTCTAGTGATAATATCACTAATATAAAAATTTTCGACAATATAGTTGTATTTGTTATTGGAACTAAAATTATTTATGGAGTTAATCTACAAAATGGTCAATCTGTCTTTAAGTTACAACTTCCTCAAATTATTTCATTTACTTTGAATAATACACTTCTTGCTATTTCTACTTCAACACAAGTATTGATTTATTTACTTGGACAAAACCTTCAGATTGTCAAAACAATTGAACGTCAAAATATTTCTTCAATAGCCTTCAATAATACTGATATTATTATTTCTGATTCAAAACAATGTTTTGTTTATAATTATTTTAATGACCAACCAACATTCGTATATCTAGATTGTACTGAGGTTATTCCAATGAAATTATCAAATACTTTTGGGTTAATCAAAGGAAATGAATTTTGTGTTTTTAATAAAAAGTTAGAAAGTGGGTATGAAATGATATTTCATTATCAATTCAATGAACCAATCAAAGCTATTATTGATAATACTATTATTGTTACTCTATCAAATAAATATGCATTAGTCCCTCAAACACAACACTTTAATATTAATATTCATAATAATTCTTATCCAATTGTCTCAGCAAATAAAGAAAATATTTTTGTTTTAAAAGATGAAACTCTTTGTTGTATTAATTCAATCACAAACAAGGAAGTAGCACATATCTCAATACCTAAAGAAACAATCATTGCTACAAATGACAATGTTGTTATAACTAAAGTAAAAACAATTGAAAGTATAACAATGTATAATATCAAACCTTCATATTCTATGATAAATCTTATTGACCCTGTTTCTTCAATAAATAATAAATATAATACATTAACAGAAACGACTCTAGTAACAGAACAAAATAAATTATCAGTACAACAACAAAATACAATAAGTACTAATACCCCCATTTATCCAATAAAACGAAGAACTGACTCTTTACCAATACCAGTTAGTGAAAAAAAAAGAGTTGAAGAAATTTCAAAAGAACCTATTATTGCAACTTCATTTGATGATTTAATTAATGAAAAAGTTTCAACTAAATGGATATTAAAAGAACAACAGAAATTGATTACTATTAAAGCTGTTATTAAGAAGTTCCATTTTATTTCTCATGAACAATTGATGATCTGTGAAACTAAAGAAAAGTCATTTTTCTTATTCAAGTTGAATGAAAAAAGTTATGATAGGCTTATATCTAAAACAAATCAAGAGCCAGACATAGCCATCTCAAAAGAAATCAATCAATATGGTCCATTTGGTGAAATGACAAGAAATGGTGCATATTTTATCTATTGGGATGGAACATGTTGTACGTTAGTTAGGTCTCATTTTCAAAAGAGTGTGACTACTTTTTGTGAATGCTTGTCGTCACATCCAACATTAAGTAGCTTAGGCATTTTCCCTATGGATTCAAATAGTATTCTTGTTGGATTTGATGATGGAAATATTGCTATTTATAAAGCAAATAAAAAATTTTGTTTTATCCAATTACCCAACCCAGTTCATGATACAGTTTCATATTTTATATTCTACAACCAAGAAGATAAAAAAGAAATAACTACTAAATTCATTGTTCTTTATGAGAATGGAATTGTTGAAGAACTACTTTATGATAGAAAAAATAACCAACTTAGTAAAACAAATTGGTTTGTTGATTTGAAACCTCAGAAGTTGGTTTATGGATTTGTTGATTCACAAAATCAAAAGTTATATGTTGTAGGTAAATATAGTTTAAATCAAGTTGACTTGTCTACAAAAGATGTTAAAAAAGTATCATTCACTGAGGCTATTTCTAGTGTAGCCTTATCTCATAATAATAGAAATCTTATTGTTGTTATAAAAAGTTCATTATATAACGTTAGCCTAGAAAACATTAGCGAATATTTACCAATAAAAAAGCCAGCAGAAATAAATGACATTGAATGGATAGAACCTTATGGACAAGACTCTTTTGCTATTTCATGTAACGGTGGTGATATTAGAAGTTGTTGTTTTGAAGAAATCTCCTCAAATTAAGTGATTGATTTTTTAAAAAATATATAATAAAATTCATTACCAAAATATTATTGAATTGAAAAATAATCTTATAAAAATAATCCTTATTCGGTTAAATGAAATCACTTCAAAACCCAAAACCATTTGAAGAAATGCAATCACTTGTACCTCAGGTTATTGAGTCTCTTGAAAAAATGAGAATAGAAGGAATTGCATATTTAGAATGTTTTAGTGATAAAAAATTTGAACCAATTCAAGATGAAATGTATGATGAATCAATTAAAAAATTAACAGAACTGTTTAATCGTGTAAATGAAATAGAGTGTAGAAATAAAAATCTTGCAGACTCTACAAAAAAAGCAGTAAATTATCTTGAACAAACTCAAAAAAAGTCACAAGAAATTCTTTCTTCTGTTGAACAAGATGGTATTTATTTTGATCAACTACAAAAGTAAATCATTAAAGTTTTATTAATATTACCTTGAATTATATTGTTTGTTATTAGCTCAATCCTAACTTAATAGCCACTTCTTTATCATTAAAAATGTTAATTTTTTTAAATAGTACTATACTTCTTTATATTTATAAAAGAAATATTTCTATTATTGACTATTCAATGTTGATTGATTTTAATTTAAGTCAATTTATTAAATAATTTTTTTAATACTTATCAATAAGAATAAATAAAGAAAATATTTTATGTAATTACACTTTTTGATATTAAACATAACTATTTCTTTTTGGAAATAACAATTATTTTAAAAACATCAAAATTTCTCTTTTTAAAAAATAAAACAAGTACATTGAAATAAATTATGGAAGAATAAGAAATAAATAATTATTCTTTTATCAATACATAAAGAACAATTAAAGAGTTATAACAAAATAAAAGGTATTCAAATAGTTTAATTTATTATTCAATTACAATTATATAATTAATAATAAAATAATAATTAATTTGTATTATTTCATTCACTTGGCTCTATTTCTTTAATGGTAATTATTATTTCTTTTTAGTTTTATTTTATTTGTTATTGAATGTACATCAATTTTATTACCTATTACTGAGTTATATATTGATTTGTTTGATTTATGTATTTTCATCTTTTCTATGTTTACTCTTTTTTATTTATTTATTTTTCATAACATATTGATATTTCTATTTTTATTAAATTTTTATTACCTTGTTACTTACCCTTTATTTTATATTTTTTCTTTAATTTATTCTTCTATTGAATTTATTTGTTTCTAAAAAACTTCTTTCATCTAGTTTATGCACTTTATTATTATATGTTTATTTATTATCTATACCAATATTCAATCATATATTGAATAAAACATTATAACCTTAATGAAAATAATTATGACTATGATGATTGCATGAAATAGAGAAAGAATTATAAGAATATGAAGAATGTAAGTAGCTAACCAAGAATATATTATATACATAAAATGAGAGAAAAATATTATACGAGTAGAAAATATCATAACAGAGAAATAAAAGAAGAAAGAAGAATATATAAATAATAACATAATAATCAAATATATAAATGTTCAAATAGTTTCACAGTTATGATAATTTTATTTGATTTATCAAATTTTCAAATAAACAATTAAATAAAATAGATTGAACAATTAGAATATTCATATTTGAAAATAATGTAATAAAGAAATACCAAAATCTACAATGACTATTTTTAAATTTTAAATAAATAAGAAATAAATTAATATCAATAAGAAACATCTCATTGCATTATTTGAAATATATACAATATAAAAAGAAGAAATGAAAATGAAAGAATAAAAAGAATATAAAGCATTAAAATAGAAAGTACATGGATTATATAATAAAATAATAATTCATCATAAAATTTGAAAGAGAATGAAATAATGAATAAGTAAATCATAGAAAATAGAAGATGAATAAAAAATTACAACGAAGTATGTCATAATTCATAAAATG